TCCCAAGACTAGTGTTCAGTTCGCAGTTACCCCAAGACTACTGTATATGTCACAGTTGTCTCAAGACAAGTGTTGTTGTGACAGTTGTCCCAAGACCAGTGTTCATATGAGAGTTGTCCCAAGACTAACGTTCATGTGGCCGTTATCCCTAAACTAGTGTTCATGTGGCAGTTGTCCCAAGACTACTGTTCATGTGACTGTTGTCCCAAGACTAGTGTTCATGTGGCAGTTGTCTCAAGACCAGTGCTCATGTGGCAGTTTTCCCAAGACCAGTGTTCAGACGTCAGTTGTCCCAAGAGTAGCGTTCATGTGGCCGTTGTCCCTAAACTAGTGTTCACGTGGCAGTTGTCCCAAGACTAACGTTAATGTGATAGTTGTGCCAATACTAGTGGTAATACGACAGTTGTCCAAACACCAGTGTTCACATGACTGTTGCCCCAAGATTAACGTTAATGTGATAGTTGTCCCAAGACTAGTTGTAATACGACAGTTGTCCCAAGATTATTGCTCATGTGACATTTGTCTCAAGACTCATGTTCAGGAGTCAGTTGTTCCAAAACTAATGTTCATGTGGCAGTTGTCCCTAAACTAGCGTTCATGTGGCAGTTGTCCCTAAACTAGCGTTCATGTGGCAGTTGTCTCAAGACCAGTGTCTAGGTGGCAGTTGTCCCAAGACCAGTGTTCATGTGACATTTGTCTCAAGACTCATGTTCAGGAGTCAGTTGTTCCAAAACTAATGTTCATGTGGCAGTTGTCCCTAAACTAGCGTTCATGTGGCAGTTGTCCCTAAACTAGCGTTCATGTGGCAGTTGTCCCTAAACTAGCGTTCATGTGGCAGTTGTCCCTAAACTAGCGTTCATGTGGCAGTTGTCCCTAAACTAGCGTTCATGTGGCAGTTGTCTCAAGACCAGTGTCTAGGTGGCAGTTGTCCCAAGACCAGTGTTCATGTGTCAATTGTCCCAAGACTCATGTTCAGGAGTCAGTTGTTCCAAAACTAATGTTCATGTGGCAGTTGTCCCTAAACTAGCGTTCATGTGGCAGTTGTCCCTAAACTAGCGTTCATGTGGCAGTTGTCCCTAAACTAGCGTTCATGTGGCAGTTGTCCCTAAACTAGCGTTCATGTGGCAGTTGTCCCTAAACTAGCGTTCATGTGGCAGTTGTCTCAAGACCAGTGTCTAGGTGGCAGTTGTCCCAAGACCAGTGTTCATGTCACAGTTGTCCCAAGACGAGTGTTCATGTGACAATTGTCTCAAGGCCAGTGTTCATCTGGCAGTTGTCCTAAGACTGATGTTCATGTGACCGTTATCCAAAGACTGGTGTTCATGTGGCCGTTCTCCCTAAACTATAGTTCATGTCACAGTTGTCTCAAGAGCAGTGTTCATGTGACGGTTGTCCCGACACTAGTGTTCATGTGGCAGTTGTCCAAAGACTAGTGTTCATGTGACAGGTGTCCCAAGACTAGTGTTCACGTCACAGTTGTCCTAAGAACAGAGTTGAATGGGCCGTTGTCCCTAAACTAGTGTTCATGTGGCAGTTTTCCCAAGACCAGTGTTCATGTGACATCTGTCCCAAGACGAGTGTTCATGTGACAGTTGTCTCAATACCAGTTTTCATGTGACAGTTGTCCCGACACTAGTGTTCATGTGGCAGTTCTCCAAAGACTGGTGTTCATGTGAAAGTTGTCCCAACGCTACTGTTCATGTGGCAGTTGTCCCAAGACCAGTGCTCATGTTGCAGTTCTGCCAAGACTAGTGTTCATGTGGCAGTTGTCCAAAGACCAGTGTTCAGGTGGCAGTTGTCCCAAGACTAGTGTTCAGTTTGCAGTTACCCCAAGACTAGTGTTCAGTTTGCAGTTACCCCAAGACTAGTGTTCAGTTTGCAGTTACCCCAAGACCAGTGTTCATGTGACAGTTGTCTCAAGACCAGTGTTCATGTGACAGTTGTCCCAAGACCAGTGTTCATGTGACATCTGTTCCAAGACTTCTTTTCATGTGGCATTTGTCCAAAGACTAGTGTTCATGTGTCCATTCTCCCAAGGCTCATGTTCAGGCGTCAGTTCTTCCAAGACTAATGTTCATGTGGCAGTTGTCCAAAGAGTAGTGTTCATGTGGCAGTTGTCCCAAGACCAGTGTTCATGTGTCAATGTCCGAAGGCTAATGTTCATGTGAAAGTTGTCCCTAAACTAGTGTTCATGTGGCAGTTGTCCAAAGAGTAGTGTTCATGTGGCAGTTGTCCCAAGACCAGTGTTCATGTCACAGTTATCCCAAGACCAGTGTTCATGTGGCATTTGTCCAAAGACTAGTGTTCATGTGTCAATTGTCCCAAGGCTCATCTTCAGGCGTCAGTTGTCCCAAGACTAATGTTCATGTGGCAGTTGTCCCAAGACTGGTGCTCATGTAATAGTTGTCCCAAGACCAGTGTTTATATGACAGTTCATATGGTAGTTGTCCCAAGAATTCTGTTCATGTGGCAGTTGTCGTAAGACCAGTGTTCATGTGTCAATTGTCCCAAGTCTAATGTTCATGTGACAGCTGTCCCAAAACTACTGTTCATGTCACAGTTGTCTAAAGACCAGTCTTCATGTGACATTTGTCCCAAGTCCAGTGTTCATGTGACAGTTGTCCCAACACTAGTGTTCATGTGGCAATTGTCCAAAGACTTGTGTTCATGTGGCAGTTGTCCCAAGACCATCGTTCACGTCACAGTTGTCCCAAGACTTGTGTTCATGTGACAGTTGTCCCAACGCTAGTGTTCATGTGGCAGTTGTCCCAAGACCAGTGTTCATGTGAGAGCTGTTCCAAGACTAGTGTTGATCTGGCAGTTGTCCAAAGACCAGTCTTCATGTGACAGTTGTCCCAAATCCAGTGTTCATGTGACAGTTGTCCCAAGACTAGTGTTCATGTGACAGTTGTCCCAAGACTAGTGCTCATGTGATAGTTGTCCCAAGACTAGTGCTCATGTGATAGTTGTCCCAAGACTAGTGTTTATATAACAGTTCATGTGGTAGTTGTCCCAAGACTACTGTTCATGTGACAGTTTTCTCAAGACCAGTGTTCATGTGTCATTTGTCCCAAGGCTAATGTTCATGTGACAGTTGTCCCAAGACTACTGTTCATGTGTCAGTTGTCCCAAGAGCAGTGTTCATGTGTCAGTTGTCCCAAGAGCAGTGTTCAAGTGACAGTTGTCTCAAGACCAGTGTTCATGTGGCAGTTGTCCCAAGACCAGTGTTAGTGTAAACATATTTTATTCAATATAAATTGAACTAGGATTGGTAAACAATCCGTAATGGCTTATTTGAATACCTCTCCATTTCATTGATACATGAATAAAACAAATATTAAATAATATGCAACATGATAGGAAAGCAAGCAACCTGCGTATTAAACATTATTAATCATTTATCAAACCTATGCGATTTTATTATAAAAGTAGGGACAGATTGTAGTATGAAAGAATTTACAAGTACATTTTTGTTTGGATTACCATTTAGGACAGAATTTAAATTATATCCATGTTCGTAAAAATACATGAGATGTCTGATGTTAGAATAATTAGGACAAGTAAAGAAGTAATGTAAAGTATCCTCATAGGGGTGACCACAGGAACAGAATGGATCAACTGAAATGTGCCGTTCAAGCATGTGCGCTTTCAAATTACTGCACCCAAGTCTGAGGCGTGAGTGGATAATTTGGCAGAAACGTGTACCTAAGTTTTTATCGAATATATTAAAATTGGGTGGTTTTGATGATTGGAATGCATTTTTGAATTGGCCTATGGTTTCAATATCGTACATATTCTCAGGCAAATCATTCCATTGTCGTATTGTATCTGGTAAAAACGAGTTGCTATACAAATCATTACGACATCTTATAGTTTGGATGTTATTACTGTTTCTTAATCTATGGTCACTTAACTGTGATACTTTTTCGGGCAGTAGATCAGTTAAATAAACTGGTGTCATATGATGAACCATTTTGTAAAATAATGATAACTTGCTAATTTGTCTACGGCCAACTAGGGGCATAGAGTTAGCATAGAAAGTTGTCCCAAGACTAGTGTTCATGTGACAGTTGTCTCAAGACCAGTCCTCATGTAATAGTTGTCCCAAGACTAGTGTTCATGTCACAGTTGTCTCAAGACCAGTGTTCATGTCACAGTTGTCTCAAGACCAGTGTTCATGTGACAGTTGTCTCAAGACCAGTGTTCATGTCACAGTTGTCTCAAGACTAGTGTTCATGTCACAGTTGTCTCAAGACCAGTGTTCATGTGACAGTTACCCCAAGACCAGTGTTCATGTCACAGTTGTCTCAAGACCAGTGTTCATGTGACAGTTACCCCAAGACTAGTGTTCATGTCACAGTTGTCTCAAGAGCAGTGTTCATGTGACATTTACCCCAAGACTAGTGTTCATGGGACAGTTTTCTCAAGACCAGTGTTCATGTGTCAATTGTCCCAAGGCTAATGTTCAGGCGTCAGTTGTCCCAAGATTACTGTTCATGTGGCAATTGTCCAAAGACCATTGTTCATGTAACAGTTGTCTCAAGAGCAGTGTTCATGTGACAGTTGTCCGAAGACCAGTGTTCATGTGACAGCTGTTCCAAGACTACTGTTCATGTGACAGGTGTCCCAAGGCTTGTGTTCGGGTGTGAATTGTCCCAAGACAAGTGTTCATGTGACAGTTATCCCAAATCTAGTGGTCATGTGATAGTTGTCCCACCACCAGTGTTCATGTGATAGTTGTCCCAAGACTGGTGTTCATGTGACAGTTGTCCCCAGACTAGTTTTGATGTGACAGTTGTCTCAGACAAGTACTGTTCATGTGGTAGTTGTCTTAATACCAGTGTTCATGTGACATCTGTCCCAAGTCTAGTGATTATGTGACAGTTGTCCCAACACTACCGACCATGTGAAAGTTGTCCAAAGACTAGTGTCCATGTAGCAGTTATCCCAAGGCTTGTGTTCCTGTTGCAGTTGTCCCAAGACTAGTGTTCATCTGACAGTTGTCCCAATACTAGTGATCATCTGACAGTTGTTTCAAGACTAGTGTTCATGTGGCAGCTGTCCCAAGACTGGCGCTGTTGTACCGCTTGTCCCAAGATTGATGTTCATATGTATGTCTATTTGTCAGCTCCTCCTGACATCATCTCAACTACACTGATCTGGGTTGTGGGTGCTGTGGTCGTTTCCGTTCTGGTTGCAAGTTCTGTATGCTGTCTGTGTTTCCGCAAAGGCCCGTGTACACAAAGGTGAGTACAGCCGCAGTTTCCCGTGTCACGGTTTGTTCAGGGGCGTTACATAGGTACAATGAGAGCAAACTGACACATAGTTACTGTGAATGATTCATTTTAAATCGCCTGTAATATTGCAGCCATATCCATGAGGTCATGTTAGTAATTATTTTAACTAAACTCATCCATATTACAAGTCAATTTTTATCTGATTATTTCGGATCAATTCAAACTCGGCTATAGACCACCAACATCTAAATGCTGCATGACTTTCCTGTACTTTGTTCACCAGAGGATGTGCGTATTATCTATATTCTAAAACACCATAAACTACAATTTCGGAATTTAAATGTTAGTTGAGGTTATATATACCGAGAATAAAGAATTAAGTGCCAGCCTATTTCAAAACTAAGGTGGGATGCTGTGGAAATGTTAGGCTAAAATAATTGGGAGGACCAATCCATATTTAGAGACGGTTCATCTGGTAACTGATTTAGGGATATCATAATCATTTGTATTTACAATTAAAGGAAATATTGTTAAAGATATGATGGCACTGCTCTTTGAAGCAAAATAACTATTCCTATTCTGCTTATATAACACTTTTCGACGTAGGTTTCACTTGTCAAAAATGACAACCATGTGACCATATAACAGTCATTTCTGATTTTCACTTTTCAAAAGAAGGTAACCTGTTCGAGGAAAACAAAATGCATGTTTTCCCAATGCGAATACATCCTGTTTAAAGTAAAAGATAATTTCAAGAATAGTTTTGTTTTTAAACTAAAAGTACTAAACCAAATTATGATAGTTGTATTCTTTTCTGAAAGATTTCTTATGAGACAACCTATATTGACAAATTATACTGGGTGGCGCTTAACTTTTTATACTTTGATTTAGATGGACTCACGTGCCGCTGTCAAAGGGATAATAACTAATATAGTGCTTTAACACCTGAGTGGCACCACCGTCAATCCCCCGCCCTCCCCTCAATAATTCATATTTTCACAATTTATAAAATAATGCAATTTATCTTAGAACAACTAGAATTAAATGAGCACAGCCATTATTAAGAAGATCCCATATAGAAGCTGAATGATAATGTATACCCCTTGTGAATCACAAATCTACACAGTCAAGGAAAACGTGGACAAAGACACTTTTAACAACTCATCATGTAACCTACTTCTGCTTTGCATTCATAAACTATAAATTATTTGCCACTTGGGTGTCCTATCTCTTTTGCATTAAACTACGGACATATTTCCTTAAAGCAATGTTTAAAATATCTGTAGGGACAGGTGATAAACTGAGTTATCATGCGATGCTTTAGCGGCAGCATCAGCTCTTGTATTACCTGCATTACCACCATAAACACTAGTTATACAATAGAGGACGATGTCGCATTGGCCATTGGCAGGAGTATTGTATACTTCTGATGTATCACGAATAAGTGGGTGATTCCAGTGGACAATTTCATTGTCTGTAGTCTTGATTTGCACCATCACTTCAGATGATGACTATTGTCGACAAATTTAGCCAAATTAAACGAACATATATTCTTCGATTATAACAATTGCAAGAATAAATATACTTTGAAAGAAGTACATAATTCGCCATAGTTTTACGCTGCTTCAACTCCCGTCAGTCACAAACAATTTAGGTGACTAATTAGCACTACCAACACATAAAATAACTCTATACAGTACAAGCAGAAATTATTGAGAATTTAAAGATTCTAAAATTTGTTATTTTTTTCACTCATTACTCACGTATTAAATGTGAATATTAGCAGAACATAACTCCAGATTCAAACACAGGTGAACAGTTAGTATTTTGTCAAGTCACCATGGGCAGCAATGCAGGCTTCGATGCGGTGGGGCATACTACTGATCAAAGAAGATAGAAAGTCGTGGTCCATGCTGTCCCAATATCTGACCACCTCTTCTTTCATTTCAGCATTATATTGTCAGATTTTTCTTATTGACACCAAACATTTTCTATTGGATTTAGATCAGGGCTATAGCTTGGCCAATCTAATTATGTCATATTTTGGGTCCGAAACCAGGCCTGTGAATGCTTTGAACGATGTTTTGGGTCGTTGTCCTGCTGGAAAATCCAAAAATATCCATAGAACACGTGAGCAGATGGAAGTAAATGTCCCTCGAGAATATCTGTGTACCGCTCACTGTTCATATTCCCTTCAAATACACAGAGAGGCGTTGCCCCTAACACAGATATGCCATAACACACATTAAATTTCGGACTGTACTTTGGGTGCTGATACAAAGGTTTTTCAGTTTGTTTAGTCCAGAATTTCAGTGTATTAGGAAACAGCCACACAGAACTTTCATCTGAGAAAATCACATTGTCCCAGTTAAAATTTATATGCTGTAAGCACCAGTTCAACCTTCGCCTCTTTTGTTCAGGTTTCATGATCGGTGATGGAATTCTTCGACTTCTCTGCCAACCCATTACATGCAGCTCAGTTCTAATTGTTTCCTTACAGACAGCCACAGTTTCTCTATCAATCACATCCAGCCTTAAGTTTTCTAAACTCCTTCGTTTGTTTTTATGAAGCCCATTTCTGGTGTCCCCCGCCGTGATGTTGCTGGAATATTGCTAAAAGCGGCGTAAAAGCAAACTCAGTCAGTCAGTCAGTCAGTCGTTTGTTTTAGAAACAAGAATACCAAGCCGCCGCCTGTCACCGACAGTCAATTTTCTGGGCCTACCTGCGCCTCCCTGGTGCTCAATGCCATATCCATTTGCAATAGTTTTCAAAACACGATGAACAGTGGACAAAGGGATGCATGTTCTACTTGAAATCACTTTAGCTGATCTGATGTCCGTGTTATAATACTCTAAAATCAACTTCCACTTCTCTAAATCATCCATACTGAGGATCACTGAAAATGTCGTCTGCTAGCAAGTACACAAAGGGGGATAACTCTTCACAAACTAATGAAAAAGGATCAACGGAGTTGTCTCTCTTGAATGAAACCAAGCAATTGATAGCTGGTCAAGGTTGTTTATACTAGAAATCCAATTAAACATATTCCTAAATTCTCAATAATTTCTGGTCATACTATATATACTAACGGAAAAAGTCGCTGTACATAACATAAAATTGCATAGAATAAAAGTTATTTGTAAAGTTATCAAAATAACCCTAAATAAAGATGTAGCAAATCACATTGCATAACAGGAGATGTCACGTATCGTGCGTCTCACGTGCACTTTGTGCACAATGTACTTGCTCAGTGTTTGCAGGCTTTTTGACACCTGAAGTTCACATGCCAGATATTGAAATGAACGGTTGATTATTCTCTAGCGTCTGAATGTTAATTTCAACCTAAACTGCTCGTACGTCATGGCACGGTTTACAGAAAATCAGCGTCTCCGCGTCGTGGCTAAGCTGGAGACTGGAATGGCCCAAAATGAAGTGGCAAGACATTTTGGTGTCTATCGAAACACGAGACGTTTTAACACTAATGGAAGCACCAGAGAATTGCCTCGGAACGGCCGTCCACGCGTGACGTCACGTCAGCAACACAACCACATCTGGCTGTCCCATCTAAGGAATCGTTTGCAGACAGCCAGTTTGACTGCTCGGACCATTCCTGGCTTACCACCAATCAGTTCAAGAATTTTACGGAACCGACTGAGAGAGCACAACATCCGACCCCGACGGCCTGTAATACGTCCACTTTGCTCCATCGTCACCGGCGGTACAGGACATAAGACTAGGATGGACATAAGATTGGGATGGTGTTTTGTTTACTGACGAGTCTAGATTTCATCAGCTCAGATAGCAAGGCAAGGGTGTACAGACAGCGAGGTTAACGCTATGCTGAGGCGTACGTTGTTCGACGTCGACAGTTTGGTGGAGACAGCGTTATGGTATGGGGGAACATCACACCTCATGGTCGGACACAACTTGTCATTGTCAATGGCAATCTCACTGGTCTGCGATACAAGAATAAGATCACTGGGCATCATGTTCCTTCAAGCACAGAGACGTAACTTCACGCTTCAGCAAGATAATGCCCTAACACATGTTGCTCATGTTTTGACAGATTTCATGAGACAGCAGAACATTCCGGTACTCCCCTGGCCAGCTGATTCTTCGGACGTCCCCAATCGAGCACGACTGAGATGAAATGGAACGGCCTTTACGTCAAGCCAGGAAACGGCCATCGAGATCAGCTAAATTGGGACAAGCGTTGGTTCAGACTTGAACTAACAATCCCCAAGCTTTCTTCAATCGCTTAGTGTCGTCTATGCGTTGTTGTTGTCAAGCCTGCATTAACGTCAATGGTGGATACACATGATACTTAATTTGTGTACTGACTTTTGACCACATCTTTTCAAGTGCGTGTCATGATGGCAAATGTCAAGTCAAACAGATTATCCTGTCGATAGTTAAGCAATGATTAACGAAAACACCACAAATCATGGTATTATCGTTTTGCAGCACAGAATGGCATTACGTATGTTTATTTCCAAAATATCACCCCAAAATGGAATGTTACGTTTCTTTAGTGAATACGTGTCATTTCGTGACAGCTATATTCAGGGCCCCCTTTTAAATGCCTTAACTTGTCATTACATTGTTGTAATATGGTACTACATAGACCCCGGACCTTTAGGGGAGGAATGTTCAGGGGAATACTTCTTCAAATGAGCTGATTTCTTAGCAAAGCAACTCTGTTAAGACCATCTCCCAATTCCGTGTATGGATGCTTTTAAATATTTTGTCAAATGTAAGTTTAGAGTAATAACTTATGGCCTAATGGGAACATTTGGTGCAAAATATTTAATGACACTTAAAAGTGGTTAAATTAAGTCATGATATTTGTACATTGGGTTTTGGGTATGTATCATCATTACATGTGTTTTACAATGTTCTGCCTTGTATCTGTTGTTCAAACAGGTCAACTCAAACTGAAACTGGTACACACAACATTGTATCAGAGCAGGCAGACGTCGCTTACATGGATTACCAGGACATGCACGAGTATTGGGAAATCAGAGAAGATGAAGCAGCACTGAAACCGAACCACGAAAATATAAATGATGGTAGTGATGGTGCAATGCCGGTTTTAGCAGATTGCTTTCCTGGCGGTCGAGATATCGACCTTGACGCAGGAGATAGTGACGCTGAAGAGGTAGATGGCGACATTAAAGCAGAAGATGGTACAACACCCAGTTCAGTCTCCACTCCTGGCCACTCTTACACACACCTCACGAAGGACGTCCCTGTTGCTGACCCGAGAGCAGTCGCCTCATATATATCTCCACTTGAGGACTAGCATTTGATATTCATTTCGATCTTTTGTGTACCGGTGCAGGGGATGCTGACATTGAAGCAGGAGATGGTGACATTGAAGCAGGAGATGGTGATATTGAAGCAGGGGATGGTGACATTGAACCAGGAGATGGTGACATTGAAGCAGGGGATGGTGACATTGAAGCAGGGATGGTGACATTGAAGCAGGGGATGGTGACATTGAAACAGGGGTTGGTGACATTGAAGCAGGAGGTTGTGACATTTAAGCCGGAGATGATGACATTGAAACAGGGGATGGTGACACTAAAGCAGGCAATGGTGACATTGAAACAGTAGATTGTGACATTGAAGCAGGAGATCATGGCACTGAATCAGGAGATGTGACATTGAATCAGGGGATGGTGACATTGAAGCAGGATATTGTGACATTGAGACAGGAGATGGTGACATTGAAGCAGGATATTGTGACATCGAAGCAATGGATGGTGACATTGAAGCAGGAAATGGTGACATTGAAGTGGGATGTTGTGACATTGAAGCAGGGAATTGTGACATTGAATTACGCCGATCTAAGCAATATTGCAGCTAAAGGACGGCGACCTGTAAATATCAAGTCTGGACCACACAAGCCCGATATTGTTAATATGTTCAACATCCAAGGTGAACTGCTTGTTACACAAGCCAGTGATTGTTAACATGTTCAACATCCTAGGTGAACTGTATCTTTGTTGTTTTACGCCGCACTCAGCAATATTGCAGCTAAAGGACGGCGTCCTGTAAATATCAAGTCTGGACCACACAAGCCATTGATTGTTAACATGTTCAACATCCTAGGTGAACTGTATCTTTGTTGTTTTACGCCGCACTCAGCAATATTGCAGCTTAATGACGGCGACCTGTAAATATCAAGTCTGGACCACACAAGCCATTGATTGTTAATATGTTCAACATCCTAGGTGAACTGCTTGTTATGTTTGTTGTTTTACGCCGCACTCAGCAATATAGCAGCTAAAGGACGGCGTCCTGTAAATATCAAATCTGGACCACACAAGCCAGTGATTGTTAATATGCGTAACGTTTCACGTCAGCTGCTTGCTGCTTAGTTCTTGAGTTATCTATAAAAATCGAGGCTTAAATTTATTTGACTGTTGCAAGACGAAAACCTGAATACGCCTCACCACTGTGGAGCATTCAGTGAGGGAACGTCGAGATTGATGTGTTAATTCAACCCTGTTTATAAGAACATTACGAAGTACTTAATTCGATGTATTTTGTGGGTATCAGTTGTTACAGGATATGGTATGTAATTAGATCATCGCAGCTATTTTATGAATGTTTACACGGCATATCCCCAAACAACATGTTTCAGCATTTGAACAAACCGGAGAAACTACTCAACAGTAAATCAAAATTGCTGATTATACGAAGGTAGTCGCCAGCATATTGTGTTGGTGGGTCACTGAACAGGGAAATTCTTTTTGAAACATTTTTTTTCAGATGTCTCTGAGACCAAAGAATCGAAAGTACATTTCTACTGTGAAAAATAGGTTTACAAAACATCGTATCTTGTGTACTTAATTATATGAATTCCTTTTGGTTTTAGTTTATCATTAACTCTGAAAAGCATGACATGTGTTAGAAAATGTTTACTTTCATGAAGTGATGTGCCTTGTGTATCAAGTTCAGTGTGTTGGGGAGGTATTCTCAATTAAATTATTTGAAATTTTAATAAAGACTCGCCTCGCATCAAAGTGTTTTCGTGTTATACTTTATGTCGATGATAATTCAAAATTTATGAGTCTGTTACAAAATAAAACTGAAAATAGAAGCATAGTCATTTTCTTGAAACTTCAGCTTTTCTTTTCATGTAAAGTAAAATACGTTCTCTACATCATGTCGGTCTTGGACAAACACCACGAAGATAGGTGATGAGACTTACTCATCATTTCAACACCTCCTTTCGCTTCAGTTAAAGGGACAAATTTACGAACTTGTAAGAAATCTGTTCATATTTTATTCATGGTTCACTAACTTTTGAAGAGTAAGTACAAATACAGTAAACAATACTTGGAATGGTCACATTTGGGTTATATTCTTGATATGATCAAGCCATCGACTACACTTTTTGATCACCTTTGGTGCCAATAACACGAGTACTGTGAGAGCTATGGCATGACTAGAATCCCTGGTGTGACATTTCGGTGGATTTCGGAGAGGAACTTCAGTCATTATACTTCATTTCGGGTGTCAGGGATGTCTATTTGAACAGTTTTATATTTCACATTACTGGGACCAGTATTTAGGTTTAAATGTATTTTTATTGTTGTATAAATTGGTCTCGTTACAATATGGCCGAAATATTGTCAATATGACGTTAAGTCAGTGAGTGAGTCAGTTTAGTTTTACGCCGCACTCAGCAATATTCCAGCCATATGGTGGCGGGCTGTAAATTATCGAGTCTGAACTAGACAATCCAGTGATCAACAACATGAGCATCGATCTGCGCAATTGGGAACCGATTACATGTGTCAACCAAGCCAATATTCTAACCCGACCTTCACGGGTCATATGACGTTAAATGTTGACTCACCCACTCTTTTTCTAAGTTACGACAATTATGTCACAGCCAGTGACCCGTGATAAACGCGATCTGCAGACAATCACTAACATGATATGTTGTGAAGGTACTGGGAACATAACGAGTCACTACAAATAACAAGTACAACTCACGGACACTATAAAACCTACAAATGTAAACATGCAAGTGTGACTATAGAAAGTTTCGATATGGGCGAATTCCAACCGGCAGGGTATGTATTCATGTATTTGACGACAGACGATTTAACAAAGACATTGCATAGCTGTTTGTAATACAGTTACATCCTAGGATCCCAGAGGCACAATGTCTGAATGAACAGGGTGAGTGTTAATGCTTTATACGAAAACAAGTTTGATTGTGAATTGGGGCGTTACATTGTGTATGACCAATGAGGCTTGGTGTCCTAGTCATCAATATGTTTTCTTCTTTTATTCTTTCTTCTTTTTGTTTGGTTCTTCTGATAAAACTGAATTACCTAACCCTTTCGCCTCTGCTCACATTGGGAGCAAAAAATATATTCAATAGTACTGCTGACTACTGAACAAGTTTTAACCTGAACATAGATGCCGTGTGCGCAAGGCATGACAGATATTAATGCCTGCAATATTGACAGTTAGAACTACGCTGACTTTCACGAGCTTTCGACACAGTGAGTATAATCAGGTTTTCAATCTCCCGTGATTTTTCCGTAATTCCATTTCTCTTTCTGTCTTGGAGAAGAACAATAACCTACTAATGTGTACATTGTGTTTAATATCTTGCATATAGTACTGTTGTACACTCTTTATTCATAACATTATGGCTTGTAGCTGAAAACCACAAAACGTGTCCTGTTCGGAATCGCTCTAAGTTGGAGAGAGCTATAAATAGTCAAATGAAGTCTTTGTTGTGCGTGTTATAGCATTGAACGATCCTGTCACAGTGTATTCTCGGCCATTTTGCAGTATCACGTCAAATGGAATATGTTTCGTCAGATAATCGAAACGGGTTATTCACAGGTGATTTATGGTTGTATGTTGAACATATACGTAAATGTTTTTGATAGAAATACAGTGATATATCAGTATATGCCCTACAAAATAGCCTTCAGAATCTGTATTGTGTTATTATGATTTCTGTTACATTCGAATCCTTTATGATATGTACAGTCATCTCTTCAATACCTGATTATTTTGGACGTAAGGTATTACAAAATTCTACCACGACATAAAAGAATTATTGATTCTGAGTGGTTAAAAATGCATTAAAATTAACTGACTGTTGATTAATGAAGGTGGTGGATAAAGCGATTCTTTGAGCATGTATTGTTCACTATTTCAACCACACCCACATAGGAAGATGGAATGTCGTGCTCTCTTCCAAGAAATGACCTTTTTGCCTTAATTTCTGAAAAACGACTTGGCAAGTCCAAACAGATAAAATTTGCAACATGTAGCGAACAATTTGACATATATATGTGGACAATTTCTTTTGACAACCCCTGCTTTAAACCTTTGCTTTGAACAAGTCAGGACTATGTGATCTTAAACTGTAGTATATATTTGTTATATTTAGGGCTCCTTTGCCTTTAGGCAGGAGACCTATTGTAATCGTTCGTGTTTTTATTATTATTATTATTATTATTATTTATTCTTCCGCCGTATTTTGTAACAGAGCTACAGAGAGCACCGCTGGACAGAATGCCTTGACAAAAATCACCCAGATGCCCACCGAGGGGTACATATCGCGCTTTAAAATCTGTAGGCTGTAGGACCAATAGCAAAGGGCAGATAATTCAAAATTAATTCAAAAATTTCAATTTCAAATGCAAATTTCTCCAAAACTAATGCTCCAATGTGTGCCAAAGTTCTGGAGCAGATGCGCAATCAAAATGCCTACAATTTCGCCTGGACGGCTCAAGTCGCTAAAATGCACCGTTTGGCCGCTATTTTGGATTGAAGTTTTGGTGATGTTTTTCAGCAAAATGCTGACTACTTTCTTCCCAAAATGTGCTGCACTGAAACTTCAAGAGCTACGGCTTTCAAACTTTGCATACTTTGTGTCTATGCACCTTACTACACAGTAGCATCGTCAAATGTGGCTATGTGTATTTGATGGGCGCCATGTTGGACGCTACTTCTGGGCAAAGTTGTCTTCAAAACTTTCACGGGCTTCTTTGCCACTTTGTGCCAAACTAAACTTACCACATACAACACTTTAAACGCTTGATCTGAAGTGGCCTTTGGTTGTTGAACATTTTCTGTTCTTGGTCCTATGTCAAAAAGTCACTGCAAGCGCTACGGCTTTCAAACTTTCAAGAGCGCCATAAATGTTACTGATAAAAACATCTGTTCAACATCAGGTAAAAAACTATTTGAGACGTGCCCAAATGAAAGAAAAAGAGTGCCAAACAAACTGACCCACAACTCCAGGCAGAACAAGCGAAGCATCACGCAAAAAGGCTTCCAAGAACGTACCAGTGATCATAAATAATGCTTACATTCAGAAACCCATAGTTTGGACAGATTTAATAAAATAGGGACTTCTTTTTATCGCCGACGGCCCAGGGATACATTACCAAATGTGTCATAAGTTTCTCATACATTTACCACACGGCAGATTACCCACGCAAAGCATGAGACAGTTTGAAGGAAGCGCGAGGACGATATCTCCTATAAAGATACCTTCCACTTCAAAGCCTGGTCCACGTGCAGATATGGGAGACGGTGTGAATTTCAACGTTTGACACTGAGATCATCTCAATTTAGCATAAGTATTGCCAGTGAACCAATACAAATTATATTATAATAGAAAGTCATAGTTAGTTACTACACTAGGGTTCAATGGCTTCCTCTATAGAGGAAGGTCTGAGTTAACTTTAGATATGACTCTATATAAAAACACGTTTCAATGTTTCTACTGGTGGAGTGAAGTTTCCTAGATTCATCATGAACTCGGTAGCAATGTAAGTATGCTGAGTCAATAAGTCCTCGATAATTTGTCTATATGTTGTTGAAAAGACGAGGTGAGGTGAAATTGAATTTAACGTCGTGCTTAATAATATTTCGCTCATATGACGACATGCAAGAGTGTGCGTGTGTTTTTGTGCGGCTGCTTGTACTAGCACAGACTTAAGTTGGTTTTATAGTGCTAGCCCACTGAGATACCATGCCGCAGTGAAGCATGAATACCCCACTCAGACACATTATACTGACTCCGAGCCGACCAGTCCTTGTTGTACCCATTAATTCAGAGCGCCAGACAGGGACCAACAAGTACCATATTTTAACGTCTTTTGGTATGACACGGTCGGTAATGTTGTTAAAATTACAATACTGGAAACGTTTGTTTTGTTGTTTGAGTTTGACTTATGTTTTAATCCATATAATGTGAATGACAGTAAACAATTATCATCATTTAGTTGTAGTCAGTATAAGCTTATTAACGGTGTAAGAATTTACACCGAAACATCGCTCAATACAATGAAACAACAATATATCATCCATATAGTAACGAGTAACAGTGGTCTAATAAGGTTAACTGTGGTCTGAAGCTGTGTTTCGGCGAGCCGCTTGCGTGTCAAAAAAACGTCTTCGGGCTCTGTTTGGGACAATTTCAAGACCCATATACGCTTCAAGCGGCAATATGTATCTCAAAAGTTGATAATGTTTATGCAAAGGTGCATGTTAAAAGTATTACCATTTGTTGATTAGATGCATATGTATTTGTGAGTGTTGGCGGTAGTTGAGCTGTGCTAGCTGAAGGGAGCACCCGTAAAGTCTTTCAACACTGCCCGCTCGCCGGCTTTACAATGTTCACAGACTAGTGCACTTTCGGTAACATTTGGGTTTTATGAAGTTTGCATAGATTTTAAAACTTTATAGGTAACCCTCTTTCAAAGGTGTTACGTGTATTTCCAGTATATAAACCCGCTCTCGATTCACAAATTCAGTTGTAACAGCCTGAGTGTAGCAGTGTAATGGATACTGATACAAACTACTGAAGTACCTTAACTTCTTGGAAATCACGTGTTTACTTGCGTCAGCGTGAGAGAAACAGCGTTATGGATATTGATACACCCTACAGAAATACAGAGCACGAATCCTTCATGTCAACATTTCAGTTTGGGTGCTGTTTATATTAAATGGAAATGATGTCTACCAACAGTGCAGCAAAAATCTGTATTCCAACTCTGAAGTACACTTTATACACCCATAGTCTAACCTTTCTGAATTCGACGAAAGTTTAGAACAATTTAGAATTTGAATAATGTAACCGTGACTGTTCCCACAGACATATGAATGCTCAAAGCTAACGCATTACCCCCAATATCCTAAACTGCCAGTGAGGTGCACTCACTGAAGGTGCTGGGTGAACCAGGGATAATCTACAGTTTTCTATTCTCTCTGGGTAAACAGGGCAATTTTGTACAAACTCACTTGCATAAGCCAGAGATCATATAATAGTTTATGGCATCTGCCTTAGCTAAGACTACATGTTTCACATACGTTTCGTTGTGGGTCAGCATTGAAGTGCTAAAAATCTGATGAATCAAGCTCCCAAACACAGTCACTCTCCCCGCTCATCGTTGCTTAATTTCGGCTGAATGAATATAGGAATCTATGCTCAGAACCACATACTAATATACTATCACTCAAAAGTTCCGTTCAAAGATGGTGAGATGTATCATTCAGTATTGTATGCAAAAAAGGCAAAAGGCAAAAAGGTAAAAGGCTGTTGTGTATTCTGTACTGTATACGTAGATTAATAAATATAAAATTGATCAAAATCTAAACGGTTTAAAGCACTTGGGAATAGCCTCTTAAAGATACGACAAGTAAGCAGACTAATTAGTATCGGCATTGCTTATAAAACGTAACAGTAACGTCCCTTAGCCGGTAAGGCGAGCTCTAGACTGGTTTGTGTGCCGTATAGTGTTTGCGCTCCTCGTCACGCTACATTGGGAGTGCGCGGACTGGATACCAGTCAAAACTCGATCGCCTCACGATGTCGCTGTGAGGAGAATATCAACAGTATTCCAGCGCAAGAGAAACCCATACATGGATACGATATTGCAGTTACATAACTGCACAAGCTAAGTATTTTCAAATCTGGAATTATAGTGGTGTCGACTGGTGTGTGACGGATCGATAAAGTAACTGTATGTGTATCAGCCGTGCTTATCTCCTATTTTCGTACTGCTCAGTGCAAACCTTGCTTGGAAATGTTGATGTGTTATGGTAACAACTCAGAGCGAATGACAGGTTTATTCGCGGTGTATAAATTTTCGCGCTAAAATGTTTTGCGCGAAATATACTACGTTTACAGTATGTAAGTGTCCCAGTTTTGTGTTTTCCGACGCTCCATATTGCTTCCTGTATGTTATAGTACATATATACATTTGTGGTGCACATTTTCTTTTGACTAATTGATTTAGGAAATGCTCCCAACGCCAGTTCACAGCTAAGTAATGTGTATGATAAGTGGAAATCATAAACTGAGATACAGTTTATATATACGTTGATGATGCCACAGGATAGAGATAACAGCCACCCATGCATGTCATAATATAGACAAATTAAAACTGTTCATTTTATAAATTTATTGTATTTCATAATATATCAATAGAGACCGCAAACCATTTTTGAGAGGTATAAATAAAACCTAACTTGGATACTATTTCCAATCTGATGAGTGAGACAAATGAAATAAAAAATGGAAAAAAATTTAACAAGTCCCCATACCCTAATTAGAGAGTAATAAAGAACAAGGGGCAGATAACTCTGTTCTTCACATAATTCAACAAATGACAATAAAATTGGAAACTGCTGTTATTGACATTTTAAGAACCTTTTTATTCTGTTGATGCGCCGGAAGTGCTTGTCCCAACTGAACATAGACAGAAAGAAATTATTTGCAAATGATCACAACACTTGACAACACATATAAATTAGACTTTGATTAAAAGCACATTTAATTATTGACATATGAATGACAGCAGGGTGAAACATTTAAATATGCAATTTACCCCTAATGATAACTAAACTGGGCATTAAAGCCAAAAATCATACCCGTGGTCAGATTGTCTTCATATAGATCTGTCCTACTTTACAAAATTTACTGATTATATTATTCTTGTCACAGACCCCTATGAATGATGAAGTATTAACAGCAATAAGAACAAAAATATTTTGTCCATCTCTTTCACATTAATGGCAGTCTCAATGATTTCTTGATCAGACAAGAAACTTTACAAATGGGAGAGTGAGTTTAGTTATATGCCGCACCCAGCAATATTCCAGCTATATGGCGGTGGTCTGTAAATAATCCGAGTCTGGACCAGACAATCCAGTGATCAACAGCATGAGCATCGGTCTTAGCAATTTGGAACCGATTACATGTGTCAACCAACTCAGCAAGCCTGACTGCCCGATCCCGGTAGTCGACTCATTCGACTCATGGGTGACTGAAGATCAATTCTAACCCGGATCTTCACGGTGGAAACAAACAAAACAAAAATAAATAAATGATAATAAATAATGTGATGAATTGTCGAAAATACATGTTTTGGAAGAACTGAAAGGCAACAGAAAATGTGATGCAGTAATGGAACATTTGAGTAACATTTGATGCAGAGTGACACAGATGTTAACATCAGTATATGTGATAATAATAAAAAAAATTATATTGTCTCAACTTAATTACTTCTCACAGGTGCCATAACATCACAACTTCACTTGCAGCTTCATGCAACTTGTTTCTAATCATAAAAGCATGCCAGGTTTCTGCCTGAAACCATTAGTTCATAGAACAATATGCCATCCAAAAGAAATGTTCCCTGTCGATCCATTCCACAGTGTTCAACTGAATTTGCACAAAATCAAAATCAAATGTCTCTGTGAGATGAATATTCAGAATAATCTGAATAAATATAAGAATTGTTGCTTCAAAATACGTACAGTTAGCTCATACGGATTTGTAGATGACTACCAGTTGGCGTTTTAACTCAAGAATACCAGCAAAGAGTAAAAATTCGCTTAAAATACCTGACAAGTAACACGTATCTAAGATAAACATGTCGGCCATCTTGGCCACGAGGGCTGAGTTTTCAACTTTTATTTATCGTGTCTTTGCGCCGTTTTAACGCTTCAAATGTAGTCATGGATGGTTTTAATCGTTTGTCTATACATCCAACTTGCGTTTGCCATCAAATATACATGGTGACAATGGTTATGTTTATGTATATACATTTACGAATATCTCAATGAAGGACGCTCACATCGTTCTGTCACTGTCCGACTGCAAAATCGCAGCAAATATTCAACTGTAACTGGTTTCAGTGGGCACCAAACCCGAATCGAATGTATTTTCTACCTTCGCGTGTTGAAGAATGTTTTTTCCAATAGTGTTAACGTTGTGATAATAAACGTAACACAGAACCCATTCTGAAAACCAAAACCTGTTTCTATGTAAACACGCCACCAGGCGGCGTGATTGTACTTCCGATGCGGTCTCTAATATCAACATGTTACATATTTTTGGTTAAAAGTATATCTTCACAACATTATGAGGAAACTTTAAACGCCAGGGTCAGGATGTCTTTGTTTTTTTTTACCGTCTAACCAAAAATATGCTTCTGGATATACACGTTTAAAAAGCTTCCTCTACACCTTTTCATTTACACCGATGCTTCTCAGCTTTACACATTTCTCAGATGTAGTTCATTAGTCCACCATTCCTTTCAAGATCTTCAATGTTATTACTACTGACTCAAACTAATTACGGCTCCTTGCCACAAGCCAGGGAACCTATTGTTATTGTTCAGTATTTTATTACATAATTCCACTATAATTTGTTCCACTCCTTCAAAGAGAACCTGTGCAGAGTCGCCTGAAAAATCACCCGAGATGCCCACCGAAGCGTAGATATTCCCCATAAAAATCTCAACATTCTAGACCAAGGCAGATAATTCAAACAACCCGTAACACTGACACAAACCATCCGATGTCGACCAAAAGGTGCGTGTACAAGTGGACTATTAGTCTCGATTATATCTACTGATTGTGGTTATGTATCTCCAAAGACAACAAAAGACAAGACAAATTATTATTTCCACACATTAGTTGCTATATTCATCGATTCTCTTGAGAACACAATGAAAGTAAGCAGTATGTATCTCAATCGTTTACTGATAATTTTCTGTTCTATGGTTAGGCGTAAAGATAGCTTATGGAACCGTTAGTAAAATAAACCAACAACCACCACTTGCTAGCTTTCTAATTCTAAAAGAGCAAATGCATGTTTGGTATAAACTGGATGTTCTCAATTTGTTTATGATTATAAGTGAACTGTTCACAGGTCTTATGTGGACTCTAACTGTATTTGCTTGCTCTGGAATTCAGAAGTTCAGTTCGAGAGCGTGACAGTAACTGTCATATGGTAACTGACACTGACTATATAAATACCCTACTTGCTGTGGATTCACACGGACACTTGTGACATCATGACACAAACAGTGTAATGGATATTAATATGGCCGATACTAATACAACACTCGATCACCTTGTGTCAACGTTTCAACTTTGCAACGTTTGAACTATAAGCTGAAATAACGCAAGACTAATGTCCCCCAACAGCTAAATGTACGACATCTGCGTGAATCTCTAGATTAAATTAAACCCAAGGAGCCCATACATCGCTGCTCGCAGCTATATTTATATCTAGTTCTGACCGCTTTCTACAGAACGGAACAGAACATTAATTACTTTCAGGCCACTTTCCGTGGTATATGAAGTTCAAAGTACAATATTATTCAGAACACCTGCATGGTGGTAGGACATTTAGGTGAATCTATGTACTTAATAATACAAACACATATTGTAGAGGGGAGTATTTGTTTATCAAGAGGACTTGTAGTTTAGCTCAGGAGAGAACACGTAAGGAGAGTTTACAGATTTGTTCTTACATGCATATAAAGTGCCAAGTTTTAACACGTTGGGGTGAACATAAATAAGTGATAAAACCCTTTCCACATCCATAGAAATCTCTGCTTTAACGAATCTAAAGTAGTCACAACACAAGTGCATGATATTCATCACCAACGCAGATATTCTGACACAGGTTACTGGTTCGTTAACTGTCTACCTTTCAAAACCAAAAATAATTATTTTTCGTAAGGGTGGAAATCCTAAACCATGTGAAAAATGGTATTATCACAACGAAATTGGGCTACTGATGACTCCATCATTTAATTTAACAAGGGAAGTATCCCATTTGGCGTTAAACTAATAAATGTGTTTTAACTAATGAATGTGTTAAAATTAGTCTGGACATACGGAAAAGTCCCACTCGGGAGATTTTTCATGGGGACATCAAAGGGGATATCAAAGACTAGAGGTGGTAGAGAGGGTCCAGTTTCTCGTATGTAAACACTATCTTGGTACTGGCATTCCTAATGTGATGGCTCTTGGGGAATGTGGTCGTTACCCATTGTTAATAGACAGTTCAGTGAGGTGCATCAAATATTGGCTAAAACTGCTTCACATGCCAACTAATCGACTTCCACGAAAGGCGTACGAAATGTTAGTCAATCTTGATTCAGTAGGTAGACATATATTGGGCAAGTAATGTTAGACATATCTTATTTGGTGTAGGTCTTGGTTATGCTTGGGTCTATCAAGACGTTGGATGTATAGCTAGTTTTCTCAGCATTTTCCAAACCAGATTAAAAGATATGTACACCCAAGATTGAACAAATATATTAGCATCTATCACTAGATATGAATGTTATGCAAGTTTTAAGATTAGCCTTGAAGCAGATAAATATGTAATAGTTTCAACCTTGTGTACATTTGCAACCGACTTTGCTCGAGTTGGATGTACACGGTTAAATGTTGATACTGGGAGACATAATAAAATTGCAAAGTCTGAAAGGGTATGTACATATTGTAATTTTAACAATAGATCTGTACCATTCCACCCTCATATTTCCATCCTTAAAGAACATTTGGAAGAAATACATACTAAGTAAATATTTAAATCGCCCTTCAGTACAATTTGTTCGCCTTATGGCAACAACAAACTATCAAGATTTAAATATCTGTAATTATATTTTTCAAATATGCATTCAAGAGTAGAAATTAAATATGAATCTCTTGTGAATGTACTCTTCCTTCAATAAACATTTGATTTGAATATTCTATAATCCCTGCCTAGTAATATGGTACCATGTGGGTGTAAACGTGTATAGTTAGATGTGTTCTTAATTTTCAGTGGACGAAAAGAAATCTAATGTACCTTCTAAATACTTCTAAAGTCCTCAAAGCCCTTTATCGCACAACCAAATAATATAACTGGGAGCACCTTTGCCTCCGAAAGTTTAATATGACACTACATTGTTGGATATGACACACAGAATGTGTTGCTTGCTCTTCCAAAAGCTTGTCACTTTATCATTAACGTTTATCTGTTGAAAGTCTGGTAGTCGGAACATCGACGTCAATGTCTCCAGTGGAGCTGACCGCTGTCTTCAAGAGTTGTACTGCAGTATAGTATTCAGAACCATGTTGATGTGTTACCCGGGCCCCAGGAACCCTCCGCCATAATATCCTTACCAGGATATGAAGTAATCTGCCCCAGGACGTTCATCAACGTTTAGTGTCCTCAGTGAGAGGAAGGTGTAAATACACAAGGTGGACACACTCATAACTGACCATGTGAACTTGCTTGGGAACCCCCTCTTGTGTTGTGGCTCATTTGCATATGACAGATACGCTGTTCGTACGGACTGTTGTGGCTACCAGACCTATTCCTTCGAGGGATATGTTAAATGTCGCTTTCTCTTTCAACGAAATGAATCATGACAGAAAACCCTCCTCATGAAAACAGTAATGTCTACAATAACGAAGACAATCCTAACAAGTTCAAAGTAATATGTATTTATCCTTTACAGATCTTCAGAAGTCCCAGAAGGATCTAAAGATGTTGAATTACATCCTCCTTTTCCTAATATTTGGTGAGTATGTTGTGTACATATAGGGGTTATCACTCGAACGTGTTCTACAGTGCTCAATATTCTGTATTCTGGATAACCATTGTATTTTACATTGACTGTATATATTTATGGAATAAATAAGTAATAACTGCATTAATGGAATAAATAAGTAATAACCGCATTAAGATTGTGCCTAAGTTTTATCACAATCTGTATTTTCACAGCCACTCAAGGAAAGGGTGAGGAGTGTCCCTTGGGTACATATGGTGAAACCTGTAACAAAAACTGCAGCATTCACTGTGCCCCTTCTCCTTCTGACAAGAAAGTCCACTGTCACAAGCAGACTGGAAAATGTTCAGAAGGATGTAACAGAGGCTGGCATGGGGATCAGTGTAATTTCCGGTGTAGCAGGAACTGCCTGGACTATGTGTGTGAAGTACAACGTGGAACTTGCCTGGAATGTAAAGCAAAATATTCAGGGGATTATTGTGAGACATACGAAGGTACGTGGACTGATTAATATGCATTTTTTGTGTGTGGCTTTATTGGTAACATGTGCACACTTATTTCTCCGCCAATTGGTGTCTGGCATATTGAACCACTCGACATGTCACAAAAACAGATATTTCTAGTGATGTGAACATTGTCTATTCACTATCATGCGGCGCTACTGTGAAACCTGAAGACAATCGAATTAGAAATCAGTCTCTTTAACAAAGTTGTTATTATTACGTCATGAATATAAACGTTGAACCTAATACAATAGTTAAACGAAAGAACACCATGTGAAACCAACAAACAAGAAAGCAATGTGATATAATTAACTATCGTTTGCTAAAATTAACTGCGTTTACAAACTACATGTACATGGCAGGACAAAGGCAAACTCAAAATAATATTTCTGCGAATGAATACTTGTAAACTGTACGACCATTAAGTGGGTAGAAGTGTTTATGGTCGACAGACCACTTGCTCTTCAGTTATCTGCACTGCCACTGGGGTGTGTTCTTTATCCCATCTTATTTATTTGCTATACAGATTACTGCCGGTGTATACACAACAACTGTCTTAGATTACAGATGCAAGTCTAGCTAGTTTGAGTAAAGGTTCAAATCTTGAATGCATAGCTGAGATTTGTACGTTTACGTCATTGCGTAAAGATAATCTTCCATTCTTAAATGATGGCAAAACCAAAAAGATTATTATTGATTTCAGAAAACGGAAACGATTGTGGGCTTCAGTTCCGACTGATAATGAGGACATTTAATATTTTGATCAGTAGAGGTATCATGGTATCTCCTAGGTGGAATTGTAACACTGATTTTATCTATAGAGAAGGACAGCAGTTATATTTCTCATTTTCATGTTGAGAGGGTTATTATGAGCTTGTTTCACAGCATATTGTCCAGAGTATACAAACTTTTAGATTGTGCACATGGTATGGGACCCTATCTGTTCAGAATGGAAACTACCTGTGAAGATCTGGGTTAATATTTATGTTCAGCAACCCATGTTTGTCGTAAGAGGCGACTAACGAGATCGGGTGGTCAGGCTCGCTGACTTGGTAGACACATGTCATCGGTTCCCCATTGCGTAGATCGATGATCATGTGGTTGATCAATGGATTGTCTGGTCCACACTGGATTATTTACAGACCGCCGCAATATAGCTGGAATATTGCTGAGTGCAGCGTTAACCAACAAACCAACCAACCAATCAGAATGGAAACAAGCTTTAAAACTGTGTAAAACCAGCCTGACAATTTTAGAATCAGATTACCTACTATTAGCAGCTTATTAACAACCAATATCTTTTAAAAAGCTCGTAAAATTATGAGTGACTGCTATAATGTCATTGTCTCCCAGTGTAAGTTATAACGTTATGGTCGTCGTCTTCAAAAGCCTATATGAAGGGCGAACAGGGCCAGCTAGTCTTTTATAATCCGTCATCCGTGCTTAAAATCAATGCAGTAATTTTAAATTAAATTTATCATAGAAAAATCTTTATCCTTACTTAAATGAATTTCCTATGAAACTCATATGCATCCATTGTATTGTCATTGTATTCCTGTGTGGTATGCTATACTTCAGTACCCAGTCATACAACTTCGGTTTCAAATCGCAATAGTATGAGAGCAGCACACGTACAGAAGTGCAATTAGGGCATATTGATATATTTATAATGAGTCGTGTTGATACAAGGTCCGACGTCGTAAGATTCAAGGTATGATTCGCATTATTGAGACACATGATGCCATTTACAGAAAACTAGCACTCAACAAAGTATGTTGTAATCGAACACAGATCTTGTATGTTTAGAATTAATGTATTTATTTACAGGAAGAGAGCCAAAACAATGTGCACAGGAGGTTGCCTCAACACCACTGGCTGCGATACTTGTTCCAGTGTTCGTCATACTCATCATCATCATCATCATCATCATCATCACTCTGGTTATGTACAGACGCCGAAGAACGTAAGACTACATGTTATCATGTTCATCCACGAAGTTGTCTCCCAGTGATAAGATAATTTATTCTCCTGTTTAAACCTAGCGTACGTGTGCGCACAGTATGTGTGTCATATCTTTAGCTTGAGACCAGACACCCTGACTTTAGCGGTGTGCACATAGGTTGTGTCATATCTCCAGCTTGAGACCAGACACCATGGGGTTTAACGGTGTGCACATTGCTTGTGTCATATCTCTAGCTTGAGACCAGACACCCTGGGATTTAGCTGTGTGCACATAGGTTGTGTCATGTCTCCAGCTTGAGACCAGACACCATGGCTTTAACGGTGTGCACATGGGTTGTGTCATATCTCCAGCTTGAGACCAGACACCCTGGGGTTTAGCTGTGTGCACATGGGTTGTGTCATATCTCCAGCTTGAGACCAGACACCCTGGGGTTTAGCTGTTTGCACATAGGTTGTGTCATATCTCCAGCTTGAGACCAGACACCCTGGGGTTTAGCTGTGTGCACATAGGTTGTGTCATATCTCCAGCTTGAGACCAGACACCCTGGCTTTAAGCGTAAATGTCTGAATGTGTCTGTGAGTATGTGAACGAACATATATGTACCTTTAGTCCTAAACAAAGACTTAAACCTATCTTACATTCTAATAAAACTAATACCTAATAATTGTACGCAAGTCTCGGGTACTGACAACAGACAGAATACTGACCTGAACAGACCATATAGCACGTCGTTATCCCTCACATACTAACTATTGAGTGGTAATTTGGATCATGTATTCCTGATGGTATTGGTGGGTTACAGTTGCTCCTTAGTTATTGGTTAATCATTGGGGATATGTAGTAGGATATACATGTTAGTGCAGTATCACATTCATTTAGTATTACCGGAGTGATGTTTAGCCTTGTGGTTGTTACTCATGGAGTAACTTAGTCATAAAAGTAATCAAAGTTACTTGTTACCCCACAGTTAATACAGTTACTTTGTTCTTAATTCTTAATACTTCTAAGACGTACTTTACATTATGTTTCTGTTTCAGGTATTAGGTATCATGCAGTCATGTATTTGGCTTCAGAGTTGGAAGTTAACTCTGTTAACCAATTTAAACCAAATTTAAACCATCTTAGTAAATTTAGACTCAAACAGTAAGATAACAACATGTTTTCAGTGTGCGTTTAGGTTCCTGCAGTGTATCCGTTCTAAACTTAGCGTGGTTTATGACTTTTTGTAGTCATAATGAATATTTCGTCGTGTAACTCTCGGACAAGGGTATGCATCACAAGGATGGAACTCACCGGTGATGAATTGAAGAAAATTGTCCTAGCTTTAAGGAAGTTAAATGCTAAACTAAAAGCGGACATCCAAGAAGACCTCGCAACATTGATGGAGAAGCATTCAGCTACCAAATCAGATTGGGTTTACAAGGAAGAAATATTACCAGCCACTCACAGGCACGCCTATCTACATGTACCAGAAGTTTTCCAGGCTTCCAAACTTCAGTGGAGACAAATCCGGTAAAAGATCTTACGAAGTCTGGGATGATTGAGCGGAAAGAGTGCAGCATGGTCCTCTTTTACAGTCATAGGCAGGAAGAGAACGAGGGCCATGGGGGATACCTCCGTCACGTATGAGGCACGGGATGAGATGTTCCATAATATGCTAAGTGACTTTCACTCACACCTTCCTTGAAAAGCATATCTGGTCACAAGTTTGACAGCATCAATAAAGTTGTCGACTGACTGGAAGCACTCAGTGAGAACGAGATAAAATTATTACCGTACCAATTACCCAACAGACTATCCTGCTCCAACATACCACAGATATGGCAGACATGAAAAGCCCAAGAGGACAGATATGGAGGACCTCTCTGGAGTAGACAAGGGCCAAGGGGAGATAACCAGTGGAGGAGTCGACTGCCACAGATCTCCAACTCTACTAATCCCAGACAGGAAAGATTCCCCTTATTCATCACATTACCCTAGAAGAGAAGCAGTAGTAGACAGGATGGTGGTACGGGATCAGGGTAATCTAAAGCTTCATTTAATAGATGAAGCCTTAGTCGGACCCTTCCCATTACCATCTACTTTTCATAAAATAAGACTTTAGTCGGGGACGCTACTATAGCGGACGTTGGTATCTTACCTCTATGTCGTGTTGGTAGGAGGTAGCATTGTGCCATACGGTACAATCAATAATTCTTCTCTTACAAACCCCCTCCCTGGCCCATCCCTCAAGAAATACAAGGTAGGTTCGTCGGCTTTGATGTCAACTTTATCTATGTTGTAAGTTTTGACTGACCATATAGGATCGGTGGATCGTTTCCGAGTATCCCCCTCGTGCTCCCCAGGCTCGTATAAATACCTAACTAGGGACCTATCTGGTATTTGTTTCTCCTTCCCACGCAATGGAGCAGCCGACTCTGATATTATTGATTTTAATTTGATAGCGTCTGCCGGCTTCTTACCAGTGAGTCGTGTGATTTCATGATTTATGGCAGACACCACCTTAGGGAGCCGTTCAACCCATTCAGTCGATCGCTTTTTCTGGGTTGGTCATTTCTCTCGCGATACTGATACCCGAATAAACGCTTCGGCCAAAGTCCTATTAAATCTCTACTATGGCTTGGCTGCGATGGGCTCCAACCGCGCCGCGTCTCACTGCGTACTTTGTGCTTAGTCAGCAACTGTGATACAACACCCATGAACTCCGACCAGGGTCAACTTGGAGCTCTGTTGGCCCACGTTAGTGGACTGCGTTTTATATATCGCTCAATAGCTTGAGCTACCTGGGCAGAATCTTTTCGTGGTCAATGGTTCAGCTTCCTTATACCGGCTGGCTACATCCACGATAGTCAGGG